AAAAAAAAAAAAAAAAAAAATCTAGGTGGAACATTCAGGTGAGTATGAAGATGCTCTTTTAATACATACAAGCCATGAAGGAATTCTCCACCAGCAAAACCAACATTTTGCCATGTGAAAATGCAAACTTGTATGTACCAAAAGTGATAATAAGCAAAATTTAAAGAATATGGGGAAATCTTTGTCATAAATATTGTAACTAAAGGAATAATATTTCTGGTAAAGAGTTTATTTAAATGGATAAGAAATAAATGCATCCTAACAGGGGGCAAAAAAAAGACTTGGAACATTATTTACAGAGAACATCATCTGGCCAAGAGGGAAAAGCAGACATAGCCTTCCTAGTAACAAAAGCAAGGCTAAGAAAGAACAATGAGATGCATTGTTTACCTTTTAAAATAGTTTAAGTTCTTTTTCTCCTTTTTCAGAATTAAAAGATACTCTTATTGCGCACAGGTGCATAAATTTAAGGTACCTCTTGGTCAGGCAGTTCAAAAACATAGGAAAGGCATTTTAGATGTTTTTTGCTGGCTGGGTATGGTGGCTTATGCCCAGCACTTTGGGAGGCCAAGGTGGGCAGATCACCTGAGGTCAGGAGTTCCAGATCAGCCTGGCCAACACAGTGAAACTTTGTCTCCACTAAAAACAAAAATTAGCCAGGTGTGGTGGCATGCACCCATAGTCCCAGCTATTCTGGAGGCTGAGGCAAGAGAATCGCTTGCACCTGGGAGGTGGAGGTTGCAGTGAGCTGAGATCATGCCACTGTACTCCAGCCTAGGTGACAGAACAAGACTCTGTCTCAAAAAATGAAATGAAATAAAATAAAATAAATCTCCTTTTATCTCTTGACCCAGTCATTTCACTTCTAAGACTTCATCTCTAGGAAATAATCAAAGACAAGTAAAAATATTATATACAGTGATGTTGAGCACAACATGATTTGTAAAACTTAAGGCAAGGAAAGCTGCTAACGTTGGCAAAAATGGTAGAATTATGACATGTACCGTAGGGTACTCATGTTGAAGACTCCTAAGCAACCATTACAAATAATGTTTTAAACAAAAGTTATCTAAAATGCTCATGATATTTCAAGAAAAAGAAAAAACCCTCTATCTGAGGCTGCAGTGAACTGTGATCACGCCACTTCACTGCAGCTAGACCAGGGCAACAGAGTGAAATCTCATCTCAAAAAAAAAAAAAGAAAGAAAGAAAAAAAAAAAACTCGACATAAACTCAAATTCCAATTACACTAAACACTTTAAAAGAATGAAAGTAGCCAGGTGAGGTGACTCATGCGTATAATCTAACACTTTGGGAGGCCAAGGCGGGGAGGATCACTTGAGCCCAGAGTTCAAGACCAACCTAGGCAACATAGTGAGACTCCATCTCTACAAAAAAATAGAAGAAAATAGCCAGGTGCAGTGGTGGGCACCTGCAGTCCCAGCTACCTGGGAGTCTGAGGCAAGAGGATCGCTTGATCTCGGGAAATTGAGGCTGCAGTGAACCGTGATCATGCCACTGCACTCCAGCCTGGGCAACAGAATGAGACCCTACCTCAAACAAACAAACAAACAAACACACACAACAACAACAACAAAAAAAAACAGAAAAGAAAAAAGGAAAAGATAAAAAAGAGTGAAAGTAAGTACACCAAAATGTTAATAGAGAATATAGCTAGATTTTGGAATTACAGTGATTTTTTTTTAATGTCCTCATTTATATTTTTTGGAACATCTCATGTTTGTTTACACAATGAATGTAAGTTATTTTATACGCATGATAAAAACAAAATGTTTTGGTGGATGAAATTAAATAGACTTTTATTTTGTTCTTAAGATGTCTTTAATTTTTAGGATTTTTTAATAAGCAAATGAAATCACAAAACCCTCGGAATGTAGGGAAAAGGCAGAGACAAACAAACAAAACAATTCACTCTGTCCACCAACAGATTGTTGCTAATTTGTTATTTTTCCCTTGAATTTTCATATAAACATAATTTTAATATATAAACAATGCCATATCCTTCCCCCTGCCTGCCTAACATTAGATTACACACCCCACAAATAAGGGAACTGTTCTCTTATCGGTACATATTTAAAACACAATTTCAGCATAAATTTCATTAGCTGAAATAAAATAAAATAGACATATCTTTTGGCACAGGAAAACAGCTAACGTTGTGAGAAAAATCAATGACCACTTACAGAATAAAGCCAGTGGACACGGAGGCTTATACAGAAGAGCATAGGTTTTAATTTCTAACTTTAAAAAAATTTGCAAAGCATTGAACGATTACATGTGCTCTAAAAATCAACACTATTGATTCCAACTATTAATCTGAAATAAAGCTTTGGAGAGATTTCCCGTCCCTAGTAATCAATTTGTTCCTTGGTTTTGTTCCTAAAATATTTTGTTTTGAAGCTAGACTGTCCTAACCTTAAAGACAAAGAAGGACCAGGCGGCTCATGCCTGCAATCCCAGCACTGTGGGAGGCCAAGGCGGATCCCTTGTGGATCACCTGAGCACAGGAGCTCAAAACCAGCCTGACAAACGTGGTGCAACCATGTCTCTACTAAAAACACAAAATTAGCTGGGCCTGGTGGTGCATCACTGTAATCCCAGGAACTTGGGAGGCTGAGGCAGGAGATTTGCTTGAACCTGAGAGGCTGAGGTTGCAGTGAGCCGCGATTGGCCATTGCGCTACAACCCAGGCAACAAGAGTGAAACTCCTTCTCAGAAATAAAAAAGAGAGAACATTTTAAAAGTAACAATAATTCCAAATCTAGATACAGTGTCCATTAATATTTCAGTGGACTTTTTTCTAGCAGCAAAATACCAGGCGGTTTTCAAACCACGTTAAACCTGACGATCTGTATCTACTGTGTAACCTGGAAACACACCCGTTTTGACAGAAAGAGGGGAAAAAAGCAAGTTAAAAACAAAATATCATTTGTTCTTATTTTGGTTCAAGGAAAAGGGAAAAAGCCCTTGAGCACAGCAACGGGTTTTTATCTACATATAGAATAATCTATAAGGATTGCACCCCTGAGGATGCAGTGGTCACCTTTGGGTGATGAATTATGTGTCATCTTAATTATTTTCCTTTGTATGTTTCTGTATTTTGTGATTTGGGTTTATTTTTTTAAAGCATGAAGCTGCTGGGCACGGTAGCTTATCCCTGTAATCCCAGCACTTTGGAAGACGGAGGCAGGTGGATCACCTGAGGTCAGGAGTTCGAGACCAGCCTGAGCAACATGGTGAAACCCTGTCTCTACTAAAAATACAAAACTTAGCCGGGCATGGTGGCGTGTACCTGTGGTCCCAGCTACTCAGGAGGCTGACATGGGAGGATCACTTG